CTCGTCTCTTCGTGAATCTTCTAGAAACTCATCACGTGTTACCAGGGTCACGTGACTTCCGCTGTCGTAACAAGATGAACATGAGATGACTGTAATATGTAGATACTCAATGCTTTGTACACTATACAGTTGGTGTCGTTAGGGAACTAATCGCTATATTATATATGAAGTGAAAGAGTAAAGGAAAAAATCAATACACATTATATTAAATTTTATTTCACACATTCATAGAATAATTATTTTGAACGATCACAAAAGTATATTTAAAGCTATGTCTCAGACATATATGTTTTATTTGAAAAGGCTGCTTTTTTGTTGGTAAAATTTTATACGCGCTTAGTGGGGATTGTGTCTTAGTCTAGGCATATATATGCCCATTGCTATGCATTATATATAGAGAATTTATTTACACAGAAACTTTAAATGCTCACTACATTCTCAAACAAATCTCCAGCTGCAGCTTAACATTTTACATCTCGAACTAATGCGATCAAAAGTCAATAAATACAGTAAATCATCATGAACCATACCAGCTAGCTACTATCTATTTTTTATTATCATTACAATGTATAAAGTTAGCTACTATATCAAGTAATCCTTTGCCCATAGTTGAACATAAAAAGTCAGAAAACAAAAATGAAAAAAATTAAAAACTTGCAAATAGGGATCGTATAAAAAAAGTAAGGAAATGAGGCTGGATATACTGGAGACATTATTTACTCAAACTACAAATCCCTACTTTGACTCCGCCAAATATAATTGTAGGTAACAACATGTTTAATGTCAGGGAGAGATTGTGAATGCATTGGCACAAATCAATTTCAACAAATAACAGTCTTCATTTTAAACACTTAAGGCTTTGATTATTTGCTTTAACCCTATACGTCCCTCATCAAGTTCGTTGGGTCATACAAATTTGATTCCAACTTCTCTTGAGTATCACGTGGTAACTTATATATAAGTATACTTACGGGAATAAGATAAAACTTTTGCAGAGTTTGAAACAATAATTACATGAGAGAATGGAGAAGTTCACAGAAACATTAAACAATTTTTAGTTCACAAACTCTGAAAATCAACAGACCAACACCACACGATATCAAACCATATTTTACTTTTAGCTAAATACACAAGGACAATACAGGTTAGAATTGTATGACACTCCAAGTTGATTCTTACTGCACGTGGTTAGACAAGGCTTCTTATCAAACTGGTTGAACACTAAAACTGGACTTAGACAAAGACATAGAACTAACATTTATATAGAAAACATCAGCATTCCTAGTTCTATCAGTCACACATATATTATCACAAAATTACCACCATATAAGCCTATACGATGGTTAGGCAAATACGGTGTTCAACTATACTGATAACAGACAGTTAAGTTTAAGTATCCATAAAATGTAGGTTCTGGAAATGTTATGTTGAGATTTATAATTACCACGGACATTAAAGAATGACAAGTTAAACAGATGAGTAATAACTAATTATTTACGATAGTGTGATATTCTGATATGAAACTGGCTGGTTTCGTGTTCTATGTATGGTAGCTGGAGTTCCAATTACACCTATACAAGTCAGACCAGAGCCCTATTGTGGTATCCTAAAATCCTTAGGTTGCCCTTGTCAACAACTGTTCCAAACATTTACAGGGGAGAGAATCCACAACTCATAATAACTTATACAAGCAATTATTTCAACTGTGACACCAACAACCCAACAAAGTGAATAGTAGAAAAAGACAAACGTCTAAAATTGTCGACATTTAAGAAATTGTAACATTCCAAATAAACTGGTTTAAAACAGTCTAGAAATAAGCCCATATTTCTGTGCTACAGAAATAAAAGTAGGTATGATATTAAGAATTTCACAGGGTGAATATGACTTTAAACAGATCATTTTCTGTGTTTAGTAAAGACCATATTAAATTTGAACTTTGAAGTGATCGAAACTTTATGCATTTTAGTTACCGTTGAAAGGTTTATATAAACGTCACTTCGTTTATTGGCTTCAGTGAAATAAAAGAAAAACATTTTCCAATCCGCGTGTAAGTAATTATTTCAAGTCTTACAACTTGATTTCTTTGATTTATTCTTCTTGTAAATATTTGGTAACCTCGTAATTTTTCTGTGTTTTAAACAGAGGATTTAAATTAGTTGGTCCTTTCGTGGTTATGATCTACAAAATGATAATGACAGACTTGCTGCGTTTCGTGACGATTTACTTGGTCTTCGTAATGGGATTCTCACAAGGTAAGTTTATCTCTGTATGTGTGCACGCCTTGTTAATTATGTTACAGAACTGTACTATATAAACAACAAGAAACACAAAAGAAATGAAATTTGAAAACAGCGCTGTGCTAGAAAAGGCAGTTGACAATAATGAAAAAAAAATTAAATACTACATTTAACAATTATTTGACACATGAGTTCAAGTGTTTGTAATTACTTCAATTTTAAACTTTTTGTTTAAATTAGGCTTAAAGTTAAGTCGGCTTTATGCTGAGAAAAGTTGTTAAGCTTCGTTTCATAGCACTTCGTATTGTTTCTATGTCATCACAATAATTTACAAATCAGAAACTATCACAAAACAAGTTATTTTTTTCAAAGTTGGAACTAGTAACAATAACTTCAGTTGTAGAAAGGTAAAAAATTGATCCTGTTCACAACTGGCAAAGCTTAAAGCAAAACTTCAACAATACGAAAAAGATAAGAATGAGACAAAGTAGTACCGTATTGGCCCGATTATAAGGCTATGCTTTTTTTATTAATAATTAGGCTGCAAAATTCATAGTCGCCTTATAATCGCGGCTGACCACAGGCCCCTTCCCCTACTCTAGCATGTCACATTCCCGAATGTCCAGATAACATCGGTAGAGACATGTGCACCAGATTTCGCTCAAGGTCATCGCTAATTCTTGTAACTAATTCAGTTATAATATTGATTTTGCGGACCTAAAAATACAACATGACACTCACTTTTTCTTTTCCATGGTTTCTAAAAATGGGGTCGCCTTATATTTGAGATCACTCTATAATCGAGTCAATACGGTATTCAAATGTGCGTAAAACTGAATTATATCTAAAGAAGGCTTATATATATATTAAATATATTGATTCGTTTATAGGTGTATTTGAAAAACACTTCCCTATTCTTCACTATTTCTACTATAAACAAACCTTCCCTATTCTTCAACTTTCTACTACGAACAAACCCTATTCTTCACTCTTTCTACTGTAAACAAACCTTCTATGTTCTTCAACTTTCTACTGTAAAAAACCTTATTCTTCACTATTTCTACTATAAACACACCTTCCCTATTCTTCAACTTTCTACTACGAACAAACCCTATTCTTCACTCTTTCTACTGTAAACAAACCTTCTATGTTCTTCAACTTTCTACTATAAAAACCTTATTCTTCACTATTTCTACTATAAACACACCTTCCCTATTCTTCAACTTTCTACTACGAACAAACCCTATTCTTCACTCTTTCTACTGTAAACAAACCTTCTATGTTCTTCAACTTTCTACTATAAAAACCTTATTCTTCACTATTTCTACTATAAACACACCTTCCCTATTCTTCAACTTT